AGTTAACAACTTCATAAAAATTGTTTGATGTTATGTTTCTGCCAGCTGTAACATCCCAACAACAAAACCATCAAAGAAGTTTCTATTATTCACTGTTTTTATTCGTTTACAAAATTATAATATTTTCATATTTTAAACCTCAAACAAAGCGAATCTCATGTCATAAACGTCTGATAAAAGAAAGCTTAAAAAATAATATCTTGTACAAAAACTCTCGCTAAAAAAAACCATGTAAAACAAAATTGTAATAAAAATATTAAATGTTTTACTTTTTTTGCATGTGAGTATCATATGTGTTTGGAGCGGGATGAGGGTGTAAGAATTGGAGAGAAAATACTCTGAGCGTATTCAAGCTATGGCACAAGTGTATTATGCAGGAGTAGATTTAAAAATAATGCTTAAAAATAAAAATGAAATTATAAGATAAAAACACACTTATGACCAACATGTATTATCATCAACATATATTAGCGATATCAGAAAAATGAAGACACTCCATTCCATCACATAATGTCAAAAGAGACAACTGATGCCTGATCAGCTCTAAAATACTTGTAAAATTTGCAGACGAAATAGAAAATAACATGTTAATTGCAAGACAACCGTTGACTTGAATTGAACATTTTGAAAATGTTCATATATATTTGACGAAGTTCAAAAATGTTATTAAACTAAGTTTGTGTAAAAAGGGTTATTATAATATTAAGGAATTTATGGATGATAATAACCCCTGGGAAGGGTGATCGCTACCAAGCTATTTCTAATTTGTCTTGTGTTTATTGTAAACATTATTGTAAGCTATTATTAAAAAAAATAGTCCCGCTGGGTTTCTTGCTGGTTCTTCCCAGGACAGAGGTGTCTTTTGCGAACCAGTGGTAAATGAAAAAAGTGACTTTCAATAAGTATTGTTATAATCTACATTGATAAAAAAGTTTCTGTTTCTGTTTTTGTTTCTGACAGAAAAACTGTCATTCCAAGGGTGTCAAGTGACAAGAGTCGACAGAGGGATATAAAATTGGAGATGGGTAGCAGCATCTTTCTAATACTCATAACAACTCAAAATAATGTAAAACAAGGTTGCCAACCCGCCTTCCAAGAAACTATTGGAAATATGTCTCTAGTAGGTAATCTACGGGTAAGACTTATGCTCAGCGCTTTACCGTTAGCGTGGACTTTTGATAGGCTGTAATGAATCATAAATAAAATAAGAATTAAATATATAGATCAATTATAAACACAATCCGAGTCTGTCTCCGTTATTCGCTTTAGAGAGTGCCGCACCAGTCGGCCCCAGTGCTTAAGCCGATTAAAGGCAAAGTTGGGCGACGCAACTAAATAATAATTGCATTACCTTATCTCAACAGTCAAATCTAATCACGGTACACAGACAGAATAACTGACACGAATTAGTGACAAAGGGACACAAACTTTAATTTAGACAAATCTTGCTGACGCTAGTAAAGTAAAAGCTTTTGTTGAATCACAATAGTTTTAGGTATTTTTTATTTGACCGTAGTTATTTCTATATTTAAACTAAAACACAGCATCTCTCTAACACTTCAGAATGGAACACAACAGCATCTGTTTTATAAACTTTTGAATTTCGTCAAATTAAAGTTTAATGGCTAATCTTGTCAAGTTGCAGTATTGGAAGGGAAATAAATATATGGATGTAATAACATGTAACCATCTTATGAGATGAAATTATTAGGTGGGTCGAATCGCTTAAGTTCCTTTAAAATCGATACGAAAGAGGTTCTTTATAATATAGAGATTTATCATTTCGTTTTATACTAAAAAAGGTACTGCTGTGGTTTGTATTAATTTCAAAAGCATTTTCAAAATTTTTACTTAAAAACTGATAAATTATAAAAGAATTATTAAAAGGTATATTGTTATAAAATATGTACTTTCAGATAACAATCACGTAACTAAATCGGAACTACGACAGTGCTACCGAAACAAAGACGAAAGCTTTGTAGTATGAGGCTTTACAATAGTAACATTAACCGACCATAACTTCTAACGTTGCTTCAATATTTATGTATTGGGCGTTCCGAAATATTGGTTGTCATATTTTCACAATATTTTGTGTAAACCACAGAAGGAAAATGAATGATAGGATATTGTCCTACAGACCGAATTTCGGTCACGGCAGCCGGCAAGAAGACTAGCCATCTGCGTAGGACATGATTATAGAGCCAAGTGTATGCGCAAACAGCTGCACTTTATATTATCTTGCTCTCATAGTCCGATGGAAGAGTAATCAGACACGACCGGGTATTTGCAAGGAGCATCATCATCATTACAGCTCATCACAAGTACATTGCCGAATATAGGCATCCCCAAAGAATGCTCCTACGCACGGTCCTGAGCCATTCACATCTATCGACTTTCCGTATTTCTTACCAGGTTATCACTCAGTAAGTGAGAACTGCCGGCAAAGCGTGCGTTAGTTACAATCATATTTTATAAATACATCAAATATTTTGTTATTACCATTTTATCCATTGAGTCCCAGCTAGAATCAGTGCAGCTGTGAGAGATAATGAGTGTATAATTATCCGCTAATATTCGACACCCTTTGCTGAAGCTCATTATTTACGATAACATAATCATCATTGTCAATTTATTTTAAATTATTTAGAACACAAGCAATATTTATGAATTATATGTATGAGATAGATGGTGCTGTACCATATCGTTTATATTGGATGCAAAATATCAAGGCGGGTGACAGACATCAGCATCACAACTGTGAGGCATCTGGTCTGCAATATGGTCTGTACTACAATCGTCAATCTACCTGCCAAGCAGTGCAGTTAAGATAAATCGTACAAAAACGGGAGCGGCCCATATCTAGTAGTGGCCTTCACTCCTACATTCTTTTTTTTCTATTGCATTGGGTGATAAACGAGCACACAGTCCACCTGACGGTAAGTTGATGCTATGGTCCATAGACGTCCACATTTATCCTCAATGAAGAATCAAAATGCAAATGCGTTGTCTTTAATAAAACTAAAAAACTGAAACCAGAAACTTAAAGGACAATGGCGAAATAATATGTCAAATATTTTGAAGCGTCTTGAGTATTTATTGTTATAGGACGTAATCAAAAAAATTATTGCATTTTATCAAATAAACATCATAACTAGTAAACCACTACTTTTTTGTGGACATAATTGATTGTAATCAAATGGATATTATCGCTTCTGTCACTTAGTGTGGCTAGTTTATAATTATTTCAGTTTCGTAGTTATAAATCATTTTTACCTCATCTTGTTGCATCTGGTTTACGATAAAATAATATACTTATTATAAATATCGTTTAAACAAAAGTGACATAAGATTATTTAAAAAAATATGTCGTATTTTCTTATATATTCTTGGAATTCAGTTTGTTTAGTGAGTAAATATTTGACACATGTAAACAAACCTAGCAAATAGCTAAAAGAGTTGACAAGGTTAAAAATTTTAAAAGTATCGATGCAAGTATTCATGTAGAATGTTTCGGGGAGTAGGATCTTGCACTGTATAAAAATAACAATGGCGAACGCCCATATAAATTTTTATGTCACGTAATCTGGAAGCGTCTTTACATCAAAAATATCAAAACCGATACACCATCTCTGACTGAGATTGTTTGTCGAAGATTTTTTTTATCGACGAGGCCGGGAATAATTGTTACGAGGCTTTGAATATTTGTAGGTTATGTGACATTATATCACTTAAATGGTTCAAGATTTATTATCAATTTATGAGTTTTTACCTAAAGGATTTCAATAATTAAATCCCATATTAATGTTTAATTAATAATTATTCACCATTAGGTATATTACTGTTTTAAGATTATTTTTGAGTAATCAACTTGTGGAGCAGATTAAACTCTCTATTAAGGAATTTACTCGCTTATTAAGGAATTCACTGCAGATAATTCAAAATAATATGTTTAGCCATAGTACAAGTTCCACTTTAGAGTTACATAATGAGGGCAGGGCACCCACGACTTTTTCTGCCACCAGAGCGGCGCTTCTTACAAATGAGGTGTAATATTTGACAGATTTCGTAGCGGGAACTTAATTTGTTTGAAAAATGTAAAGGTCAACGTTTCTTTATGTACTATTAGTTATATTTTATATCAATTTGATTGAAACCAAACCACAGATATTCATAAAAGTTGAAAATTGAAAAAAGAGTTACAAATGTGCAAAAAATTAAAGAATAAACTCCTGAGGCATTGTTTTGTGTATTAATATAATACTATAGAAATTGATAAACTTTTATTTAAACCTGAATTCTCAATTAAATTACATTGTGTCACAAAAAACTTCGCCTGCGTCAACAAGCGACATCTGGTGAATGGAAGATTATTAGACCTCATTGTATTGAAACTATTTATCAATATTATTCGACCAAAGGTAAATAAAACAAGAAATTAATTGTAAAAAATTTATTCATCATCATCTTCCCTAATATTTACACCATCTAAAAACTCTGCCGGTGCTGAAATATGTTGCTGATGTTGCCCATCCTAAATACCTATAAAGGTCATCATGACATGTGCGCAACAGCCTAATGTGCCCCGACCTACTAAACAACTACAGCAGTACTCTGCGATTCCTGTTCGACCATATATATATATATATATATATATATATATATATATATATATATATATATATATATATATATATATATATATATAAAATATACATATATATATTATTGTCCCCGGGTTACATGCCATGACTTAATCTTGACTCTAATCAATGTAGTTCCAGGCCCTTGTACTAAGTGGCAATTCTTTCATCGGAATCCCCTGTCCTCATCTTTATTAAAAGTGCTGCTAGGCCCAAGCATCCTTTTCATACTTCTATTATACGCGGCACTTCTTCTAATATACTGTTGAACTTTTCTTTGGTAAGTCCAATCCAGTATTTAAATATTCTGTCATCCATTTCAAGAACATTTACGAAGTCCAATATTGTATTAATTTTAATTTAAAAAAATACATGTGTCACTTGGTCTGCAGTAAAAGTGTCCAAACTATTTGCAGAATCATATAAAGTCTCCCATAAATTGCTACTTAAATTTTCACTGCAAACACGAGCTAGTTTAGGTATGTAGAAGTTGTGATTGCTTAAAACTATAGCACGTAGTTTGTCACTGATGCCATGCAATGTGGTACTATTACAATTGCTGAAAACACAACGATTGTTGTTGTTAGCCGCTCCTCTATAATCTGGTAAAGTTAATCCATTTGGTGTGCGACTCACTTCTTCATTTGAAACAGATGGCTGCACCTCTGCTAATATAGGCATATCTGCTGTTGACAACTCCTCAGTTACAGATTGTGGTCTGTTGACTTCATGGGTATGATGGGCCTCTCTTTGAATGCGCAACCAAAATACCTTATCAGTTTCTGTAACCTAGAAATAAAAAAAATACTTTAGTGAGAAAGCTGAACAATTTCTTTTTAAATAAAATGTGTGGGAAAATACTCATATCAGTAAAACCATTTTGAATAAATTCTAATAAACTTCCATTCATAGGTTTAATTAGCATATAAGCACATAAAAATCATAACATTTGGAAATCAAATCAATGATATATGTGTGTTAGTATATGTACACATAGAAACCAAACATACCAGTTTGCTTAAAGATTAGAACAAAATGGTTCCAACAATCAAAACAATTAACTAGTTTGAAACTAAGCCTGAGCATATGCTATGGCAACTAGGATAACAGATAGTACTTATATACGATTATAAACATCCATCACTGAGGTACAAATGTTCATGCTCATCACACAAACATTTTTGACACGTGGACTTCAACCCATAACTGATGGTTTCATAGTCCGCGCAGACCACTAGACTAAGATAGTCATAAAAAAATTTTAATGTACATAGCATACCTGTCTTGGAGCAACCCTGTGTTCAGTAATAGTAAACATCAACTGATGCAGGTCCCTGGGGTTATTTCTCAATATTATTTCACTTTGCCTTCGCAAAATGGAACACCAACATAAAAGGCATACACTAGCGTGGCCTTGGTGACTTGGTCTAGGTTGTTGGTCATCAAATCCAAAGATTTCTTGTAAACTACGATTTACACTTATCATTGCTAGATCTCTACATGCTTCACAGATATAGTCATCGTCGGTAATCTGAAAAATAAAACTACTTGTTATTAGGATGGTGTCATCCGTACATAAATCTATGCGAAAAATTGATTGTAATCTATTTTATTTGGTAATGACAACAGACGAGAGGTTAAATGTTGAGTTAAAGTGTTATCCGTTGTTAATCATATTAATTTATGAGGCAATCATATTATGTATAATGGGTGCAAAGACTAGTTTTTACAACAATTAACATTGATCATTAGACTCAGCTGGACATACCTATAATAGATATATTACTCTGATAAATATAAAATATTACGGTTCCTTGAATAAATAAACACTTACGATTTGTGGATACACCCAGCTACGGAGTAATGTGGTAACTCTTATTTCGACTTCCAAAGCACGGTATCGACGAAGTGTATTAACGCATATGTTTCAAAATAAGAAAATCAAAAGGCAAAACCAAGAACACAAAACACAGGCAGCACAAACGGCGCGAGAGCATTATGTGTGAGTGTGTAAGACGTAACGAAAACGTCATTACGACACTGTCATAATTGACAGGTGTGTTTCTATAACATTTATATTGTCTCACTAAACAAACTGAATTCCAAGAATATATAAGAAAATACGACATATTTTTTTAAATAATCTTATGTAACTTTTGTTTAAATTATATTTATAATAAGTATATTATTTTATCGTAAACCAGATGCAACAAGACGAGGTGAAAATGATTTATAACTACGAAACTGAAATAATTATAAACTAGCCACACTAAGTGATAGACGCGATAATATCCATTTGATTACAATCAATTACATCCACAAAAAGTAGTGATTTTTATTCCGGCCTTTACTAGTTTTGATGTTTATTCGATAAAATGCAATAATTTTTTTTGATTACGTCTTATAACAATAATAACTCAAGACGCTTCAAAATATGTATTTGACATATTATTTCGCCATTGTCCTTTAAGTTTCTAGTTTCAGTTTTCTTTATTATAGCTTTTTTAATATTGTACATAATTAAAAAATCTATTTAAAACGTAAAAAAATTGTTGGTCGACGCGACGTAGTTGAATCTATGAACTACTGGTGTTGGGTTCCTAAAATATTTTACTTCAACACGAATAGCTTACCTTTCCATACTATCATCTCAGGAAAATGCTTGTGTTAGGAGTGGTATGCGGCAGTAGTCGAATAGCGGATTCGAGCCCACGACCTCGAGAGTTCGCGAGCAGCACCATGCCATTAGGCTTCTGTCGTTTATACAAGGTAAAATTGTGGGGGTCAGTTTGAATGACGACTCAGCATCAGACGACCGTTCAGCTTACTGGACAGAGTATCTGTCTGTTGTCCAGGACAATTCGCATCTAAACTGTTGACGTTTGTGCAGAGTGCAGACAAAAAAAATAGTTGGATTACATCATGAGTAAGTTTTTATACGTGGTAGTGCCACGCTGCAGCTATGTTATGGTTGCAGCACGAATGGTTCCGCTAGACCGGGGAATGGCCACGCTCTCACAGAATACCAGCGTAAAATAGCAGCTTAATGGTGCTGTGTTTCGTATGGTGAGTGTAGAGATCCGGAGACCCATTTTTACTGGAAACGAGGCATTCCATCTTAGTCCTTAGGTGTGGCAACACATCACCCTTTTGATTCTTAACCCCTCAATCTCCAGGTAAAACGATCGACATCGCCCGCGCCGTTGACAAAATGGCGTCGCTAATACTACCATATACAATAAATATATTTACTCTGCAACCAGATCATATTTTTTTCATTCTGTAAACGACAATTTACTAATTGATAAATATATTTTCAGCTTGATATCAAATCTAATGTTTTCATCAAAACAATATGCAATATGCTTCTTATTCATGATCAAAATTGGCGAACTATTTTAAATATTGATAGAAACAGAAACTTTTTTATTCAATGTGGATTGTCCACCACTGTATGTTTCACTAGGAGTTTTCTTCCACGTACGACCTCTCTGTGGAATAGTTTACCACCGGCGACTTTTCCGGACCAATACGACCTGGGGACCTTCAAGAAAAGAGCTTACCTCTTTTCTAAAAGGCCGGCAACGCACCTGCAATTCTCCTGGTGTTGCGGTTGTTCATGGGCGGTGGTAGCCACTTAACATCAAGTGAACCGTATGCTTACTTGCCTCCCTTTCTATAATAAAATAGTATTATAAAAATTATTTAGTTTTTCATGTAACTTTAAAACCTTTATTTTTATGTGATAAAGCCATACTGCAGCTATATTTGTAGTATAGTTTTAGGACGAATAGGTCGGCTGGACCGGGGAAGGACCAAGCTCTCACAGAATACCAGCATAAAATGGCAGCTTAACGCTGCTGTTTCGTATGGTGAGTGTAGAGAACCAGATACCCTTTTCAATAGAAAGGAGGCATTCCATCTTAGTCCTCAAGGATGACAATGCATTTGATTCGTAATCGAGGATAGATCTACATGTCTTTAGGCCATAGCAACCACTTACCATCAGGCGAACTGTTAGCTTGCTTGTCACCTTTCTCCTTTAAAAAAAAACTTAAAAAAATAACGAAATCGAAAAGAGGCACAATATTTCAATGGCAGATGCAATTTTGGTAGCGTAAGACTTGGTCTCAGCTACAATGAGGCCCAAAATGTAATCATCCCAAAAGGAACGAAAAGGATCATATGTCGAATTGTAAAATTGAACCGAACCAGTTCGCTCAGGTACAAAATTCTCCTCCTAGCCTTGAAAGGAGTCCATAGGAGACCATTCAAACTGGAGGTTCTGGCCTTCTAGCCAAGTAAGACCATCCGTTCCATCACTGGCGATAAAAAATTAATCTGCATCTTCGCTCTCGCTTGCATCCACTCTTTCCTCTCAAGAATAAGTTCTTTTGAACAGGAAAAAACAGCCAACCGCAAATAAATACAGACTCTAGAGAACAAACTGGAGCAGATGGAGCATCATCATCGCAGCTCGAGCATTGAAGTGCGTAATTTACCAAAAAAAAAAAACGGGGAATCGAAAGAAGACCTATTAAATATTATAAAAAAGGTAGGAGCTGCCATCAGTGTACCAATCCAATCGGAAGAGATCCGTGACGTCTACCGCATAAACACTAAGAAAGATAATAACCAGCCCATAGTAGCGGAGTTGTCAACCGTGTTCTTAAAGAATCAAATAGTTAAGTCCGTCAAGGCATACAACAAAAAATATACGAGCTGCAAGTTGAATACCTCAAACTTAAAACTTGATGGTCCACCTAACCGATTTTCGTGTCTGAGAGTTTGACAATTAAGACGAAGAAACTCTTCTTTCTGTCCAGGGAATTTGCTAAAATTAATTCCTTTAAATATTGCTGGACATCAAGGGGTAAAATATATCTTCGGAGGGCGGATGGAGCTCCACTTGTAAATGTTAATAGCGAGAGCGACCTAGATAACATTAGCAACAAATTACTATATTTATTAATTTGTTTTATTTATTTTCATAAAATATGCATGTTTTATTGTTCTCTATGTTTTATAAGCTTTTGTTGTTTAATCTTAATTTTTTCAGCTTTAATTCATATGCGTATATCACTGATACATATTCATATAATTTCGCTGAGAACTCAACACATAAAATTACATCATAAATCACTTACACTTAATAATCTAGTGCATAATATTCACACTTACACTTTACACTCAAGAATTATAAATATTAAATACTCCAGTAATATGTTAAAATTTATGGTTTCTATGTCCGGATATCTGATAATATATTGTTTTGAAATATTTACTTTTCAGAAATATGTAAATTATTATTGTACACTGCAACCCATTACTATTTTGATTCGAAATGGATGATAACTCTTTTATCACAGCCGAAGTTGATATCTCTAATAGGATAGAATGTCTTTCACTAAGTGACCTAAACAGCCTTAAATTTTTAAAATCGGATATAAATAGTAAACTCACATTTTCAATTGTTACATTGAATATACGAAGCATTACTTGTAACTTTGATCTATTTATAGCATTTATATCTAGTCTAGACATGTCCATAGATGTTTTTGTTTTGACAGAATGTTGGCCTAGTGTTAGTAATCCACCACCGAGTCTCAAAAATTATAACATTTTCTGGACGAAAAAATATTTAAATTAAAATGATGGGGTGGTTGTATACGTCCGAGAATATATTAAAGCATCCTCTTATGAGCCAACCTCTCACGATGGAAATTGCCTTATAATAAAAATCACGCCGGATTATATAATCGTATGCTCATACCGCGCGCCTAGTTTTCGTAATGTAATTACAATTAATAATGTAATGTAAAAAATGTAATATTTACTGGTGATATTAACTTAGATATTCTATCATGTAACTTATCAGCATCCTCACAATGTTATTTAAATATTATGTCTATGCACGGTTGAAAACAAGATATTGACCGTCCTACTAGAGTCAATACTTGCATTGATCATTTTATGGTCAAAATTTATAACTCTTGGAAAACTATTGTTTTTGAACAGCAAATAACTGATCATTCACCTATAATGCTTTATACGAGTATAAACAATGCTGGTGTTAGTAAAGATATATTAAAATATAAAAAATAACCGTTAATTATGAAAGGATCAAAGAAATACTGCTGGGATAAAACTGGCATGATGTGCTACATATTAGTAACATAAATTCAGCCACTGAGATTTTCACGAATAAACTTTATTCATTGGTTAAACAAAACTCGCAAATCAAAACTATTACTAAAAAGCACCAACCTCTCAAACCATGGATAACAAGAGGAGTGGTAAGATCTATAAGAAAAAGAGATAATCTACATATGAAAACTAAAAAGTTACCAGATAATGAAGAACTAAAGGTTAAGTATATAAAATATAGAAACATGTGTAACAAAATTATTAAAAATCTGAAAAAAAGAATATTATAGAAATAAATTAATGAAAAATCAAGGAAATACAAAAGGAACGTGGAAGATA